GAGCCATAGAATACAGTTCTATGCACTGATCAGATGACTCAACTTTATTATATGCAGGTATATAGAATCATTGAGTTGGAAGAGACCTCATGGGCCATCTAGTCCAACCCCCTGCCAAGAAACAGGATAATCGCATTCAAAGCACCCCCGACAGATGGCCATCTCTATACACTAGTATATTATATATATCTCAATACACGAGCATGTGTATATATATTGCATTATATGTAATATAATATAAAATTTTATCATATAATATGTATATATATTATATCATACATATAATCTTACATATATATATTTATATTTATATGTGATATGATATATAATATTGTATATTATATTATTATATTATATATATTATATTGTATATTATAATATCATATTTTATATTGTATTATTAATGTATGTATATATATTCTATCATAATATTATCTATCTATATATGGGTTGTTGTAGGTTTTTCGGGCTATATGGCCATGTTGTAGAAGCATTCTCTCCTGACGTTTCGCCTGCATCTATAGCAGGCATCCCCAGAGGTTGTGAGTTCTATATATGGTTTGAACAGAGCACGTCACTCCTAAATTATATATATATATATATATATATATATATATATATATATATATATATATATATATATATATTATATACACACACACGCACAAACGCACACATAATGATACACACACATACATATATATAATGTAGAAGTGACATGCTCTGTTCAAGCTATATCTATCTATCTATCTATCTATCTATCTATCTATCTATCTATCTATCTATCTATCTATAAAATACAATTTAGAAGTGACATGCTTTGTTCAAACCATATATATATATATATACACACATTAATAATACAATATACAATATTATATATTATATCACATTGCGTGCATATATATAATATATATTATATCAAAATATAATGTCATATACCTTTTATATAATAGATATTACAATACATGCATAATATATATGATATTTTATATATAGCATATTATAACATTATATATACACTACCAAACTGCATTCGTTTGGTTAGATGCACGCTAAACCACCACACGCACAAAAACGTGTGTTTGCTTCACATTCGCCTTAGGGCCAGATCGCCTTAAAGAAAAAGGCAAGAAATGCAATGTTTTGCAAAGGTATTTACCTTCATAACCCCTCCCCTCCCAAAGAATCCCGGTTTGGATATGTTTAGAACAGGCTTAGGCAAATATATATATATATATAGAGAGAGAGAGAGAGAGAGAGAAAGAGAGAATATTTATCTACCTATCTATTATATATAGAGAGAGAGAGAGAGAGAAAGAGAGGGAGGGAGGGAGGGAGAGAGAGAGGGGGAATATCTATCTATATAATATTTATAGTAATACATTTACTATATATTATATAATTATATATATATATTATAATATATATAATATATTATTAATAATTCTATAATATATAATATATATCTATTACTAGCAGTCCCCTGCCACGCCTTGCTGTGGCCCACTCTGGTGGTCATGGAGGTTCTGTGTGGGAGGCTTGGCCCAATTCTATCATTGGTGGGGTTCAGAATGGTCTGTGATTGTAGGTGAACTACAAATCCCAGTCAAGATTCTATTTTCCCCAAACTCCATCTGTGTTTACATTTGGGCATATTGAGTATTCCTGTAGTTTGGTCCAGATCCGTCATAGTTTGAGTCCACAGTGATCTCTGGATGTAGGTGAACTACAACTCCAAAACCAAAGGACACTGCCCACCAAACCCTTCCAGTATTTTCTGTTGGTCATGGGAGAACTGTGTGCCAAGTTTGGTTCAATTCCATCGTTGGTGGGGTTCAGAATGCTCTTTGATTGTAGGTGAACTATAAATCCCAGCAACTACAACTCCCAAAGGACAAAATCATTTTGTTTGAGTGAAGGACATACATTGGGTTGTTAGGTGCTTTGTGTCCAAATTTGGTGTCAATTCGTCCAGTGGTTTTTGAGTTCTGTTAATCCCACAAACAAACATTACATTTTTATGTATATAGATTACTATTATTATTATTATTATTATTATTATTATTATTATACATTATATAATAATTATTAGATAATATTATATACACACACACACACACACACACACATATATAGATAGAGCGAGAGAGAGGGAATATCTATCTATATAATATTATATATAATTATATATTGTTATTATACATTATATAATAAATATTAGATAATATGATCTCTATAAATAAAAATGTAATGTTCTTTTGTGGTATTCACAGAACTCAAAAACCCCTGGATGAATTGGCACCAAATTTGGACACAATACACCCAACAACCTTTCACTCAAAATTTTTTGATTTTGTCATTTGGGATTTATAGTTCAGCTCCAATCAAAGAGCATTCTGAACCTCACCAACGATGGAATTGAATCAAACTTGGCACACAGTTCTCCCATGACCAACAGAAAATAGTGGAAGGGTTTGGTGGGCAGTGTCCTTTGCTTTTGGAGTTGTAGTTCACCTACATCCAGAGATCACTGTGGACTCAAACAATGATGGATCTGGACCAAACTCTACACAAATACTCAATATGCCCAAATGTGAACACTGGTGGAGTTTGGGAAAATAGAATCTTGACATTTGGGAGTTGTAGTTGCTGGGATTTATAGTTCACCTACAATCAAAGAGCATTCTGAACCCCACCAACGATGGAATTGAACCAAACTTGGCTTCACAGTTCTCCCATGACCAACAGAAAATAGTGGAAGGGTTTGGTGGGCAGTGTCCTTTGGTTTTGGAGTTGTAGTTCACCTACATCCAGAGATCACTGTGGACTCAAACAATGATGGATCTGGACCAAACTCTACACAAATACTCAATATGCTCAAATGTGAACACTGGTGGAGTTTGGGGAAAATAGAATCTTGATATTTGGGAGTTGTAGTTGCTGGGATTTATAGTTCACCTGCAATCAAAGAGCATTCTGAACCCTACCAACGATGGAATTGAACCAAACTTGGCACACAGTTCTCCCATGACCAACAGAAAATAGTGGAAGGGTTTGGTGGGCAGTGTCCTTTGGTTTTGGAGTTGTAGTTCACCTACATCCAGAGATCACTGTGGACTCAAACAATGATGGATCTGGACCAAACTTACACAAATACTCAATATGCCCAAATGTGAACACTGGTGGAGTTTGGGGAAAATAGAATCTTGATATTTGGGAGTTGTAGTTGCTGGGATTTATAGTTCACCTGCAATCAAAGAGCATTCTGAACCCTACCAACGATGGAATTGAACAAACTTGGCACACAGTTCTCCCATGACCAACAGAAAATACTGGAAGGGTTTGGTGGGCAGTGTCCTTTGGTTTTGGAGTTGTAGTTCACCTACATCCAGAGATCACTGTGGACTCAAACAATGATGGATCTGGACCAAACTGACACGAATACTCAATATGCCCAGATGTGAACACTGGTGGAGTTTGGGGAAAGTAAACCTTGACATTTGGGAGTTGTAGTTGCTGGGATTTATAGTTCACCTACAATCAAAGAGCATTCTGAACCCCACCAACGATGGAATTGAACCAAACTTGGCACACAGTTCTCCCATGACCAACAGAAAATACTGGAAGGGTTTGGTGGGCAGTGTCCTTTAGTTTTGGAGTTGTAGTTCACCTACATCCAGAGATCACTGTGGACTCAAACAATGATGGATCTGTGGACCAAACTCTACACAAATACTCAATATGCCCAAATGTGAACACTGGTGGAGTTTGGGGAAAATAGAATCTTGATATTTGGGAGTTGTAGTTGCTGGGATTTATAGTTCACCTACAATCAAAGAGCATTCTGAACCCCACCAACGATGGAATTGAACCAAACTTGGCACACAGTTCTCCCATGACCAACAGAAAATAGTGGAAGGGTTTGGTGGGCAGTGTCCTTTGGTTTTGGAGTTGTAGTTCACCTACATCCTGAGAACACTGTGGACTCAAACAATGATGGATGTGGATCAAACTCTACACAAATACTCAATATGCTCAAATGTGAACACTGGTGGAGTTTGGGAAATAGAATCTTGATATTTGGGAGTTGTAGTTGCTGGGATTTATAGTTCACCTACAATCACAGAGCATTCTGAACCCCACCAATGACAGAATTGGGCCAAACCTCCCACACAGAACCCCCATGTGGGCCACAGCAATGCGTGGCAGGGGACGGCTAGTATATATATGTGTGTGTATGTGTTTATTAGTATGTATGTATGGAGTTTTCCACTCGACAGGTACATCTCCCTCCATGGATGAAGTTCTGTGTGGACACATCTCCCTTCTTTGGAGGTTTTGAAGCATCGGTGGCCATCTGTCGGGGGTGCTTTAATTGTGCTTCTCCTGCCTGGCAGAAAGGGGTTGGACTGGGTGGCCTTTGGAGGTCTCCTCCTTACTCAAGGGTTCTGTGAGTAGAAACAGACAGACGTCAACAAGAGAGTGGCAGAAAGGAGTCACAAGGGGCGAGAAGTTGCCTTCCACCAGAAAGGAAAAGGAGGGTACAATTCAATCCCAAGCTCCAGCCCTTCTCTCCCATCTTCTCTCCCATCTTAGAAGCCAAAGGGCGCCTCTAATAGGGCGAGATGTGTGTGTTTGTAGGTTGAAAGAGGAGGCCCAAAAGGAAGAGGGAGAAGCCAAGGGGAGGAGGGAGGGCTTGACTATTGTCTCTCCAAAATTTGGGCAGCCCCCACCCCTACCCACCCCCAAGGCCCTCCCACTGCTATTGTGGATTGAAGATGCGCCCGACCTGCTCCTCCTCCTCCTCCTCCTCTTTCCTTTGGGTTTGAATCTCCCACCGCCTTCTTGCGCCTTCCCTTTTCCCCTCCCTCCCTCCCTCTCTCTTTTTCTCTCCCCCCTTCTCTATTCCCAGGCTGGCTGTGGGCAGAGAAGAGGAGGAGGAGGAGGAGGAAGAGGCTGCGTCCTCCCGACTCCACCATTTCCACCGGGTCGGCAGGATGGGCTCGGTCTCCAACCAACAGTTTGCAGGTTAAGTGAACGTTTTTGCCTCTGGGAATCCTGCTCTTTTCCTTCTTTCCTTCTCCTTCTTTGCCTTCACTTCGCTCCCATCCCTTTCCTCTCCTCCAGGAAGGAAACCCACCCTGAGTTTGGGTTTCTCCGACTCCTGGCCCCCTTTTCCCTTCTTCTTTTTGGGAACGAGGGAAGAGGGCGGCCGGGCTACTTGGGCGCAAGGCAGACCATGTGCTTTTGCCTTCCTCCTCCTCCTCCTCTTTCTCCTTCTTCGACGGAGCTTTGGGAATCTTCCTCAACGGAACACAAACGAAAGGAAAAGAGGAGGAATTTCGTCGAGATGAAAGGCAAAAGGCATCCTCTTCCCCGACCTTCGAGCATCCCCGTATTTTGTGTGGGTTGGTTTCCTTCTCCCACAAAGGAGGGGTGCCCCCGTTTCCCCATTTTGAGGGCTCTCGTGGGAATCCTTTGGGAAGGAGTTCTCGTCTTTCTGGAGAAGGGAATCCCCACTCTTTGAACCCATTCCTTCCGAGCGGAGCTTGGCACGGGCTTCTTCTGTCCCAGGCGGGTGAGGAGGAGGAGGAGGAGAACCCCCACTTGGCTGGGTCTCGGGGTCCAAGCGCCCTTCAACCTCTTCCTCCTCTTCTTCGCCTTCCTCTTCTTCCTCCTCTTCCTCTTGTTCTTCTCCTTTTTGCCTTCTTCTTCCCTCTTCCGCTTATTCTCCTTCCTCCTCTTCCTCTTCTCCTTTTTGCCTTCTTCTTCCCCCTCTTCTTCTTTCCCTCTTCCCTCTTCTCCTTCTTCCTCCTCTTTCCTTCTTCTCTTTCCCTCTTTCTCTTCTCCTTCCTCCTCACCTTCTCCCTCCCCACTGGGCCCTCCCCTTTTCCTCCTCCTTCTCCTCCCCTCTTCCTCCTTTTCCTCTCCTCTTTTCCTCGCGTTCCTCTCCTCCCGTCTTCTTCTCTTCTTTCTCTTCCTTCTTCTTCCTCTCCGCTTCTTCCTCTCGTCTTCTCTCCTCCCTGTCCTTCTCCCTTTTCCCTTCTTCTTCTCCCTCTTCTTCTTTTTCCTCTTCCCCTTATTCTCCTTTATCTTCCTCCTCTTCCTTCGCTTATTCCTATCTTTCCCCTTCTTTCCTCTTCTTCCTCTTTCTTTCTCCTCCTTTCTCCTATTCCTCCTCCTCTTGTTTTTCTCCTTCCCCTCTTCCTCTTATTCTCCTTCCTCATCTTCCTCCTTCTCTTGTTCTTCTCCCTTTTCCCTTCTTCTTCTCCCTCTTCTTCTTTTTCCTCTTCCCCTTATTCTCCTTTATCTTCCTCCTCTTCCTTCGCTTATTCCTATCTTTCCCCTTCTTTCCTCCTCTTCCTCTTATTCTCCTTTCTCCTCTTCCTCCTTCTCTTGTTCTTCTCCTTTTCCCCTTCTTCTCCCTCTTCTTCCTCTTCTCCTTTTTCCTCTTCCCCTTATTCTCCTTTATCTTCCTCATCTTCCTTCTTCTCTTATTTCCATTTTTCATCTTCTCCTTCCTCCGCGTCTCTTCTCCTTCCTCTTCGCTTTTTTCTCTTCCTCTTATTCTCCATTCTCCTCTTCCTCCTCCTCTTGTTTTTCTCTTCCCCCCCGCCTTCCTCCCCCTCTTCTCCCTCTTCTCCTTCTTTCACCTCCTTGCTCTTTTTCCTTCCTCCTCTTCTCCTTCATCTTTTCCCTCTTCCTCTTATTCTCCTTTCTCCTCTTCCTCCTCCTCTTGTTCTTCTCCTTTCCCCCTCTTCCACTACTTCCCCCTCTTCTTCTTCTTTCACCTCTTTCCTCCTCCTTCCTTCCTCTTCTCCTTCCTCTTTTCCTTTTCTCCTCCTTTCTCTCCCTCCTCTTCCTTCTTCTCTTATTCTCCTCGTCTTTCCTTTTCTTCTTCATCTTTCTCCTCTCCTCCTCCTCTTCCTACTCCCTTCCTCTTCTTCTTTTTTCTCTTTCTCTTATTTTCCTCTTCCTTTCTCCTCCTTCTTCCTTCCTCTTTCCCCTCTTCTCCTTCTCTTTTTTCTTTTCCTCTCTTCCTCCTTATTATTCTTCCTACTTATTTTCCTTCCTCTTATTCTCGTCCTTCTTTTCCTCTTCTCCTTCCTCTTCCTACTCTTTTCCTCCTCTTATTCACCTTCTTTCTCCTCTTTCCTCTTCTTTTCCTCCTTTTCTCCATCTTCTCCTTCCTCTTCCTATCCTTCCTCTTATTCTCCTTCCTCTTCCTCTAATTTGTCTCCTTCTCCTTTCAACTCTTCCTCTTTTCCTCTTCTTCTTTTCCTCTTCTCCTTCCTCTTCCTACTCTTTTCCTCCATTTATTCACCTTCATTCTCCTCTTTCCTCTCCTTTTCTCGATCTTCTCCTTCCTCTTCCTCTAATTTTTCTCCTTCTCTTTTCAACTCTTCCTCTTTTCCTCTTCTTCTTTTCCTCTTCTCCTTCCTCTTCCTACTCTTCCTCCTCTTATTCTCCTTCTTTCTCCTCTTTCCTCTCCTATTCCTCCTTTTCTCGATCTTCTCCTTCCTCTTCTTCCTCTTCTCCTTCCTCTTCCTCTAATTTTCCTCCGTCTTCCTTCCCCCTCTTCTCCCGCTTCTCCTTCTCCTTTCGCCTCTTCGTCTCCTTCCTCTTTCCCTCTTCTCCCTCCGGCGTGACCCTCTTCCAACGGGGCTCTCCTCCCTTGCTCCTCCGCAGGGGGCTGCGCCAAGGAGGGCGAGGAGGGGCCCCGGGGGGACTCTCCGCTCCCCGAAGAGGACAGCCAGCCGCTCCTCCGCGGCGCCGGCATCTGCAAGTGGTTCAACGTGCGCATGGGCTTCGGATTCCTCTCCATGACCAGCAAGGAAGGCGCCACCCTCGACGCCCCCGTCGACGTCTTCGTCCACCAGGTCAGCCGGGACAGGCGGATGGAGTGGGTGTGTGTGTGTGTGTGTGTGTGGAGGAGACCCTCTTCTGCGCGCCTCTGTATCCAAGGACCCTTTTCCCAGGGAGCAGTCTACAGAATGGGACCTTGGAGGGAGGCTCACAGTGTTTGGGACTGGGACCACAACCACGTCTTTACCTTCCTCCTGAAGGAGAGGAGGGATGTTGATGCCCCAATTTCCCCGGGAGTGAGTTCCACAGGTGAGGGGCCACCACTGAGAAGGCCCTGCTCCTCGTCCCCACCAGCCTCACTTGGGATAGTGGTGGGGTCGAGAGCAGGGCCCCCCAGATGATCTCAAATTCCGGGGTGGGACGTAGAGGGAGATACGTTCGGACAGATACACTGGACCGGAACCATACAGGGTTTTGTAGGTCAAAACCAGCACCTTGAATTGGCTTGGAACTGAACTGGCAGCCAGTGGAGCTGACACAGCAGAGGGGTGGTGTGCTCCCTGTATGTCGCCCCGGTGAGCAGCCTGGCTGCCCTAGTTGAAGCTTCCGGCCAGTCTTCAAAGGCAGCCCCACGTAGAGTGCATTGCAGTAGTCTATTCAGGATGTAACAAGAGCGTGGACCACTGTGGCCAGATCAGTACATTGGATAGACTGCATCAGCTCTAGTTGCTTAGATAGGGTCATCTATGAGCCTTTGGTAGGAGGAGATTATTATTATTATTATTATTATTATTATTATTATTATACTTTATTTGTACCCCGCTAGCATCTCCCGGAGGACTCGATGCGGCTTACACAGGCCGAGGCCTCAACACACAACACAACAATACAATTTAAGCAAATCAAACAATTAAAACAGAATAAAGCAAAATAAACAACAGGCACAATACACTAAACACAATAAAACTGGGCCGGGCCGGAGTAATGGGTACAAGAATTAAAAGTGCTGATGTGACAGGAGGTGTATATGAGGCTTCTAGGGCAAGTGCGATGTGCAGCAATCATTGGTTCTAGTAAAGTGCTTATGGGACTTGGTAGTGGAGGTTTCCTAATCTGGGAAAGCGCATCGGAAAAGACAGGTCTTCAAGTTCTTTCTGAAGACTGCCAATGTAGGGGCCTGTCTAAGATCTTTGGGGAGGGTGTTCCAGAGTCGGGGGGCCACCACGGAAAAGGCCCTGTCCCACGTCCCCACCAAGCGTGCTTGCGACGCAGGTGGGATCACAAGCAGGGCCTCTCCAGATGACCGAAGTGAACGTGTGGGTTTGTAGATGGAGATGCAAGTGGTTCAACGTGCGCATGGGCTTCGGGGTCCCCTCCACCCCCGCAGCACAATTCTACATTACATCTATAAACCGATAAAACCAATAAGACCAATAAAAATCCATACAAACCAATACAAACCAATTACCCGTTATTGCCGGTCAGCGTTCGCTATCTCATAGTTCAAATTCCAATTCCACAATTGTCAGTCCTGTCAGTCCTATTCGTCTGGTTGTCCTTATCTAGTTAGCAGATTGCCCGAAGGCCTGGTCCCACAACCACGTCTTTACCTTCCTCCTGAAGGAAAGGAGGGATGTTGATGCCCTAATTTCCCCCGGGAGTGAGTTCCACAGCTGAGAGGCCACCACTTGAGAAGGCCCTGCTCCTCGTCCCCGCCAGCCTCGTCCCCACCAGCTCCTCGTCCCCACCAGCCTCGACACGGTGGGGTCGAGAGCAGGGCTTCCCCAGATGATCTCAAATTCCGGAGTGGGATGTAGAGGGAGATACGTTCGGACAGATACACTGGACCGGAACTGTACAGGGTTTTGTAGGTCAAAACCAGCACCTTGAATTGAGCTCAGAACTGAACCGGCAGCCAGTGAAGCTGACACAGCAGAGGGGTGGTGTGCTCCCTGTATGTCACTCCGGTGAGCAGCCTGGCTGCTGCTCGCTGGACCAGTTGAAGTTTCCAAACCGTCTTCAAGGGCAACCCCACGTAGAGTGCGTTGCAGTAGTCTATTCAGGATGTAACAAGAGCGTGGACCACTGTGGCCAGATCAGTACATTGGATAGATTGCATCAGCTCTAGTTGCTTAGATAGGGTCATCTATGAAACTTTGGTAGCAGGAGATACTCATACTGTCTCTACTACTATAGTCCCCAAATCATAAACAAAATCCATTCTGTGGGCTTGTTTTTAAGTTGAATTTGTATATAAGTCCGAGCAGGTACACACCAGAAACAGAATCATAGAGTTGGAAGAGACCTCATGGGCCATCCAGTCCAACCCCTTTCCTAGAAGCAGGAAAATTGCATTCAAAGCACCCCCGACAGATGGCCATCCAGCCTCTGTTTAAAAGCTTCCAAAGAAGGAGCCTTCACCACACTCCAGAGCAGAGAGTTCCACTGATGAACGGCTCTCACAGTCAGGAAGTTCTTGCTCATGTTCAGATGGAATCTCCTCTCTTGTAGTTTGAAGCCATTGTTCTGCGTCCTAGTCTCCAGGGAAGCAGAAAACAAGTTTGCTCCTTCCTCCCAGGGGCGGCTCAAGCCATTACGCAAAGTAAGCCTTTGCGGTATAGTTGATTTTGCCCAGGGGCGTTCTTGAGGTGCTCTTGGGGGAAAATAGACCTTGACATATTCGACATATGTAGTTCACCTACAATCAAAGAGCATTATGAACTCCACCAATGATGGAATTGAACCAAATATAGCACACAGAACTCCCATAACGAACAGAAAATATATATTAGTGACTAGCCTTCCCCTGCCATGCGTTGCTGTGGCCGTCATGCAGGTTCTGTGTGGGAGGTTTGGCCTGATTCTATAGTTGGTGGAGTTCAGAATGCTCTGTGATTGTAGGTGAACTATAAATCCCAGCAACTACAACTCCCAAATGTCAAGATTCTAATTTCCCCAAACTCCACCAGTGTTCACATTTCGGCATATTGAGTATTCCTGTCAGGTTTGGTCCAGATCCATCATTGTTTGAGTCCACAGTGTTCTTTGGATGGAGGTGAACTACAATTCCAAAACTCAAGGGCAATGCCCACCAAACCCTTTCAGTATTTTCTGTTGCTTATGGGAGCTCTGTGTGCCAAGTTTGGTTCAATTCCATCGTTGGTGGAGTCCAGAATCTTCTTTGATTATAGGTGAACTATAAATCCCAGCAACTACAACTCCCAAATGACAAAATCATAATTTTTTGAGTGATGGTCACTCCTTGTGTTGTGAGACGTTTTGTTGCCAAATTTGGTGTGATTTCGTTCATTGGTTCTTTTGTTTTTAAGGTACTCATTACGCACAGAGCATTTTTATATATATAGATTGGTGGGGGGGGGGGCAAAATAATATTTGCTTACTGTTGAAAATTACCTAGGGCCGCCTCTGCCCTCTCTATGACTTTCTCTCACATATTTATACCTGGCTATCACTCCTCCTCTCAGCTTTCTCTTCTTCAAGCTAAACTTGCCCAGCTCTTTAAGCCGCTCCTCACAGGGCTTGTTCTCCAGACCCTAGATCATTTTAGTTGCCCTCCTCTGGACACATCCCAGCTTGTCAATATCCCTCCTCAATTGTGATGCCCAGAATTGGACACAATATCCCAGGTGTGGTCTAACCAAGGCCACAAAGATATATGTGGGTGGGTCAAAAAGTTTTGCCTCCTGCGTCCTAAAAACACTATGAATAAAGTGCTACTCCTAAAGTGACAGGCAGTCCCCAAGTTATGAACAAAATCAGTTTGGTGGGTTTGCTCCTCAGTTGAATTTATATATAGTACATATTTTCCGTGTAACGCCAGTCAAAGATATATGCGGGTGGGTCAAAATGTTTTGCCTCCTGCGTCCTAAAAATGCTATGAATGAACGTATAGCAGCAGAAATTGCTACAGATTGTAGCCTGAACTGTCCTCGACGCAAAACTACAATTCAACATAGTCACCATCAATTTGGACACATTTGCGCCATCGTTCAACCCAGGCATCCAAACCATTTTGGAAAAATCCAGGGTTTTGTTTCATGAGTCATGATTTTAAAGCTATTTGAAAGGCATTGAGATCATTGATTCTGAAACCACCTAGGTTGACTTTCAGAGGTCCAAACAGGTCAGAGTCCATTACAGTATGCCCATAAACATTCTTCAAGCCATTACAGATTTCAATGTATTGTCAAAGGCTTTCATGGCTGGAATCACTGGGTTGCTGTAGGTTTTTCGGGTTGTATGGCCATGTTCTAGAAGCATTCTCTCCTGACGTTTCACCTGCATCTGTGGCAAGCCTGAATAGCTAGGCTGGAATCATCCTGATGCTCCTGCATCTAAAGCACGAATGGGCAAACCTGCTTAAGTGGCTGAGGGGGAAAAGGAAGGGGCCTGAGGCTGTTAGGAATTGTGGGAGTTGAAGTCCAAAACACCTGGAAGGCCCAAGTTTGCCCATGCCTCATCTAAATTTAGGCCTTTCAACAAGCATGAGGTTAATGTCCAATGGCATATGTTCTGTATCCTAAAAACTAGAGCTGGTAGGGGGAAATTTGTGCCAGTTTTGGAATCCACAGGTCAAAGATACCTAGAAGGAGTACTAACAATTGAGGCACCAAATGTGTGTTGGGGCAGTGTAATAGTATTAATAACAACAATATCCTTTTCTCTCTCTCTCAAGAGAGACTCAATGGGAAGATACTCCCAACTGATTCCTCACAGGCAGAGGTGGCGCTAGGTCATTTTCAGTGGTAAGCAAACAGTATTTTGGCGCCCCCCCCCCCAACCAATCATTGATATGGAGCAGGAACGAGAGGGGCTAGGCGAGGCTCAAGGGCCCGGCCCCTTCAGGGAGAGGATCGCCCAGCAGTGAGGCAAGGAAGCCGAGGCTCCCCCCAGACTGCTAGGGCTGTTGTGAGCCGAGGGGGTGCTCCTCAAGTGGTGTTCGAGGGGCATTTACAGAGGTGCCTCTGCGCCCCTGGCAAAAAAAAGTGTACCGCAACCGCTTACTTTGCGTAATGGACGAGCCGCCCCTGCTCGCAGGGTGCTTTTACATTGC